TTTTTTCTCCACAAGATGAAACTAAATGTATATGAATTAATGAATGGAAAACTGATCTTCTCTGAGTTTTCAACCAACTCACAATAAAAGGTTTAAAAAACAAGTTTGTGGAAACGTTCCATTATCCTGTAATTCCATTTTCCCCATGAACTTTTGGAAACCCTCCCTCACACCAATTTGACAGTTTCTACATGTATAATTCTACGACACTGATTAAATTCCTTGAGTTATGCAACCCTCTTCCTTTTCAGAGTTGTCCCTCCTTCCTGGAGAAGGACATCATGCCTGTTAAAGAAGAAGGTCATCAAAAAAGAGGAAGACCCTCAACATGATGGAGTGACACAGTGGCTGCAACAATGGGCTGAAATAGAGCAATGATTGTGAGGTGGAACAGGACTGGGCAGTGTTTTCTTCTGTTGTCTACGAGGTCACTATGAGTCAGAGCTAACAATATTCATCATGTGGCAACTCCCTCAGAACCTACTGGGTTGTCCACTATGCTTTAGGGGTGGGTGGGAGGGAAGGAGGGACCTTTTCTATAAAAATTATTGATTGCATTAAAGAATGACACATCTTTATGACTCAGAATGCAAGGAAATACCTTGGCATTAGTATTGTACTCTGGTAAACAGTTAATAATTCAGAAAACATTTCAACATAACACAGAAACTTGTGCCATGTTAAGTTTGCTAAAGAAAATAAGTCTCTGGTTGAAAGAAAGCCAGGCGTGGCTGCGGTACCCACGGGCAGATATTAACTCAAGCTATTTTGTTCTTTTCTCCTTCCTCCCCTTTCTCTTTCTTCCCTTCTTCTTGTCTTTCTGCTCTTCTTGTCTTTCTCCTCTTAATATTTTTGGAGCACCTATTACTGACCACAAGTTTGGCTGTTCAAGCCCACCATCTACTCCACAGGAGAAAGATGAGGTTTTTCTGTTTCCATAAAGATTTATAGCCTCATAAACCCTATAGAGAGTCACTATGAATCAGAACTGACTCCAAAGAATTTAACAACAACAACAACAGCTGTGTGCTAGGTCTGTACTATTCTCAGAAGGTGAGTACCATAGGAGGAGTCCCACTGATCCCATTCCCAGAAGGAACTTGATCTTGTAGTGTCTGGTTCAATCCTGTCGTGGACCAGAGAAGGTGCTCCAACCAGCCCCAGATGACCAGGATGCCTAAAAATGGTGCCAATGGCTAAGCACTAGTGAAAAGGTTCGTGGTTCAAATCCACCTACAAGTTCCTCGGAAGACAGACCTGGTGATCTGCTTCCCAAACTTCACAGCCTTGAGAACTCTATGGATCAGTTCTTCTTTACATGACTGCACCTAAACAACAAACCAGGGCTTGTGGCAGGTTTTATGAACAATGTGAGTACACAGGTTGGAGGTTGAAATCCACACTGAGGCACCTCGGAAGAAGGGCTTGATGATCTACTTCTGATAATCCTAAGGAGCACACTTCTATCGGGACACACGTGGGGTTGGTCATCATCTTGCCAGGAGTAGGGAGATTTTGAGGGGCTTTAAGCTGAGGAAAGTAACCCAGCAGTCCATTGCTGGAGGAGAGGTGAGTTCTACTGTGCCACACAAGGTTGTCATGAGTCAGGATCAACTTAACAACAGCTGGTTTTTATATTCTGCACCAATTTTCCCCAATCCACTCCCCAAATGCTCTCGCTACATGAAAGTAGGGCTGCATGGTTTACATATATGGCTTCAGGACAAATCCCCTGGGTCTAATTACTTATTTCCAACTAAATGGGAGCTTTCATTGCCACTTCCCAGTGCACATAGTAGGCACTCACAAATGCTATGGTCTGAGAGCCTGCAGATAGTGGGACTGATGGTAGCTCTTGACCTTTAGTAGAGAAGAGCTTCTTGAGCTCTAAGTACCATGTAAACATCCACTGATCATGAAAGTGGATTAGGATTGGGTGAAACCAGGCAGATAGAAGATATTTATTCCTTAAGCTGACTTCACAGTTGGTCTGCTGGTAACAGTGGGTTGCAAACAATGCATAACTTGGCTTTATGCTAGCATTCATGGCAACGATTTAAAGGCAGTAGAAGCATCTTCAAGGATGCAGACAGCTTTCTTTTGAAAAACCCGGCACAGCTCTTTATTCTCAGGAAAGTAAGAAGGGGAGTGAGCTGGAATGAGAAATCAAAAAGCTTCGCTTTGATTTTCAGCTCTGTCATTCTCTTGGAGAACCTGTCGTTTTCTGAAGTTCCAGGTCTACGATTTGGTTTTCCTTTTCTGTCTTTGTCAAGGGCAGGGCACTGGTAGTTCTGTGGTTGAATTCTCCTTCCATACAGGAGACTTGTGTTCAAGTTCCAGTCAATGCACCTCATGTGCAGCCACCACACATGTATCACTGAACTTCTAGACTAAGATGGATGAGGGAGAAAGGCCTGGTAATCACTTCTAAAGATCAGCCAATGGAAACCCTATGGATCACCACAGTCTAATCTGTAACACATCATGGGGATTGTGCATGAAGTCACCATGAATTGGGACCAACTCGTTCGCAGCCAATGACAATAACATGACGTGGGTTTGGGGAAGGAGATAAGGCATGTAGAAGAGCTAGTATTAATTTCAAGGTCTACCTTTAAAACCCGAACAATTTTGGTCAAGTCATTTAAATGCTATGTTCTTATTTCTCTGTTATCTGTCTGTGAAAGGACCACCACTATCACCACCACCATCATCACCATCACCACTACCACCACCATCACCACCATCATCACTATCACCACTACCACCACCATCACTATCACCACCACCATCATCACCACCACCGCCACCACCATCATCATCATCACCACTACCACCACCATCACCACCATCATCACTATCACCACCACCACCATCATCACCACCACCGCCACCATCACCACAACCACCATCACCACCATCATCACCAC